CACTTCGGCGTTTATGGTGTAGGCTAGTGGCCAGGTCGCCGCCGCATTAGCATGCAGAAGTCTGGAGTTCAGTCCTTGAGTGGGGAGAATTGTTATCACACGTTTCCGTCTTTCTGTTTGGGACGTTGTATCATTCTCATTCCAGTGTGTTGATTGTGGCTGCAGGGTTAAAGCCCGCCTACTAGATCTAATTGATCTTAACAATGTTATTGGAACGTAAAACACCTAGATGTATAGAATATTATTTTTCCCTTCTCTCTTCCCTTCTCTCTTCCCTTCTCTCTTCCCTTCTCTCTTCCCTTCTCTCTTTCCTTCTCTCTTTCTCTTTCATTCTCTCTCTCCGACTGTCTCTCTCCGACTGTCTCTCTCTCACTCTCTCTCTCTCCGACTCTCTCTCTCTCTCTCTCTCTCTCTATCTCTGTCTATCTCTCTTTCTCTCGCTCCCTCTCTCAATAAATAGCAAGTGCATTTAATTTACCAAATTCATCAGGTTTAACTACATGTATAACCATATTGCATTCTTCCCTTTTACACGTGCGCAGTATTCCTATTAAACGCTCCTCCTTCTGTCAGAAGTGACCCCACCCTCTCACCCTCTCGCTCTCTCCTTCCTTCCACCCGAGTGCGTGCGCGCATGTGTCGTCCTTGCGTCTGTCTGTTCGTGCGTAACTTTTCTCGCGCGCGAGGGCAGGGCAGGGCAGGGCAGGGTAGGGCAGCGCGCAAACCGCTTGTCTCCACTTTCTCAGCAACACACACAAACGCACAGACAGACACACGCACACAGACAAGCGAGCGAGCGAACGAACGAACGAACACCCCAAGAGTCCTGCTTGCTTGCTTGATCTCTCTCGCTTGCTCCCTCTCCTCTAGTTTCCCGCGGACGAACGGACGGACAGTCGGCGTGGTGAGAACGCTCAGTGTTGTTGTGTGTTGCCAAAGGAAAATACCCACAACGCGCGCGCGCACGAGTAGTGGCATCGTCACTTATTTCTTGTTGTGCGAACTCAACTACCGGTACTGTACTGTGGTAGATCTAAATTACACGGGAGTTGCTGCAGGCTGGACTATCACATTTCGAGCTTGTGAGTACAGTACAGTAATGTCATTGTTCTGCACTGTTGGTTGTTTCACGCTCTCATAGATATAGATCTAGATCTAGATCTCTAAATCTAATATTATTATTTTTTTGTTAGTTCGTTTTGATTGTTTTTTGTTTGTTTGTTTTCTAATGGTTTAAAGTTGAATAAATATTTATTTACGTTGATCTCTCTCTCTCTCTC